CACCAAGCGCTCAAATGTTCGAGGCATAAAATCTTTTATTATTTGGCATTAAAAATTAAAGTTTCTTGCTTAAGTCTTTTGTTGCGGCAGCGATTAATTACAATGTGTAGCAAGTGTCCGTTACAATGCAATATAATATTTAATTTTTTTAAGTAATACTTATATTTTTTGTTGTTTTTACCTAGCAGCTATTTTAGTGTGTAATATGAGCTGATTGTAAAATGTATGTATGCTGTTTTTGTTTTATGAAAAAAGCGATATATTTTAGCGTTTTTAGTGATTTAGCAGTTTTCTAGGCAAAACGTAGAGAGTTTCGTGTATTTTGAAAACCTTAGTGATAACAAAGAAATAGAGAGGCTTTACACCGAAAAGAACTGTAGTAGATCGTACTGTGTATTATTTCAAATATTTTAGTAGCACAGTAGAGTAGCAATCGATGTACATCTAACCAAGTATAACCAACTAAACTAATTTGCACATACCTCTATCTGATAAACACGACTTTAAATATCTGCGTTAGGTGCTTGGTCATCGCTGATCCTTTTACTATCGCTTTGGATAACTTTTTAAACTGTTTCAATAATAAGAGTTTCAAGCTGAATTATATTCGAGCCCTTGACTTAAATATGCTAATTGTTTCTTTTTATAAAAAAATATGTTCTCTAAAGTCCGAATTCCGCAAAGAATATATTTTGGATACTCATAAATATTCGCGAAGTTAAAGCTGCTTATTTGATTGCCAAAAATATTATCACAGAAACAAAAGTAAAAATATTACGTATTACTTCTTAAAAACGACAAGGTTGCCATACTTAAATTTCTTTCTGTTTTTAAACAGAGTTTTATAGATTTGACTATATATAACAGAGGTTCGATCTATCAGATGCATTCTCTCATCAAGACTATGAACATATATAAAACTATTGTTTAAGTTTTTTCTAAAATAGTCTCTTGCCCAGCTGATCATGTTTAATCTCTTAAATATCAGCTGAGTGGCGCGATTAATGACTCCACAATTTTACACTAACTCTTAGAGAGTTAAATTATGCTCCAAAAAGTTATAACACCTTAGTGCCAGCAAAACTGTTCAGTATAAAAATATACAATTGACAATCAAATTTAATATACTGTATACCTGTACAACAACAAGTGCAGTCAACAACTTTACAATAATGTTTCATGCGGCAGTAAAATACAGATTTGCGTACGAGCTAACTCCGCTGCCTGAAATGACTAATTTAGTTTTACATATACAATACAATATGCTAAACTATAAATTTGGTTAAAAAATAATAATAAGATCAATGCAAAGTTGCCACACATGCACTTTGACGCAACAATAGATCACTTAAAAATCGAACAATAAACGTTGCAAGAATGGTGTCGTAGAAATATTAGCTGCAAACTCACAGCATGACCATGCAGTTACACAGCACAGTTAGAATAATAAGCGCCGACAATAACAATAAACAATAAAAAAGTAAAATACCCTAACAACTCACGCCAAAAGCACCGCAAAAGCGTTCAAGCGGCAGCGCATAATGCTTGCATGTGGCATAAGTGCCCACTTGTGGCAAGGCGGTGGCCACAGCAGTTGCAGTAAACGTCATCACCCACCCACCAATTTTTAATGCACACACACATGCATACAAATAACCTTACATAAATTTTTGCTTCAGTTTTTTACATTTCTACCTCAACACAGATGTCTTTTTTCTACTATTTTTCGCAAAGCAAAATCAGTATGCGAAAATCATGGCAGAAATTAATAGCTGAAATTTAAGCCACTTTAACAACAACAATAGTTTGTGTAAAAATAATAACTCAAAAATTTAGTAGGCAGCCTTAACTAGTAATCAAACAAATGTTTATATGTATGTGCACACATATTTATGCAAAGCACATACATACATACATGTGTAGCAGAAACAACAAATAAAATAACAGTGAATGAAGTAAAAATCGTGCTTGCCACAAATCGGCGCAAAACGCCTTATTTTGTTTTTTTTTCTTTCAGCAACTGCATGCAACCCACGAACTTGATTTCTGCCACAATTTTGATTCCGAGTTTATTGAATTTTTACATTTTTTATTTTTAAGTATTAAACATGTGGTCGCGGAAGGTGTGCAACAAAGTACTTCAACTTCCAAATAAGCATGAAATAGTAAATACAGTTATAAAATATATTTCTGCGCTGAGTAATTAAACAAAAACGAGTAATATGGTAGCATTGAAATCAAGTTTGCATGGTGCCGCAAAACAGAATAATATTTCAATATTCATAACACATTTGTACGAAACAGTTACATGCCAATATATAAGTAAATATATACATGCATCTAATTTTTAACATATTTCTTCAATTTGCTTGAATTTTTTTCCAGTTCTTTTTTCAAGTAAACTTCTAAATAGTGAAGGCGTTGAATAATGATCGCTAAAGACCGATCGCTGACTGGAGCAATGTAGTGATGACAAATGCTTGAACAAAATTTCATTGAATATTATTCGCTGATTTAAAAACCGTGCTATATACGCAGCCTTGCGCAGGCTCAGTTCAAACCCACGATCGAGAGCTGGAAACAGAAGCTGTGTTAATTTTGTAAACAAATGAATTATTTTATGCAGCTAAGCGCTGGTACTCACCTCTTCCACCACACTTTTTCATCACTTTTTCATCGCTTTTTCAGTCACACTTTCAAACATTTTGCCTATGGCCAACTCCGTTCTGATGAACTGCGCGTTAATAAAATAAATATTTTTAACAACCAATTAAGCTAATGCAAACCAAATAGCCGACAACAAAAACAAAAAGAAATTGCAGTCAAATGAATTGAGTGGCCAAAAATTTACAACGACAGTGTTGCTTTGCGGCTACCACATATTTATGTAGTTTGCCACATGATTTATGCTTAATGACTTTATATTGTTGTAATTTAGCTGTACGCGTATGCGCAGGCACAGCGAGCCAAGCCACATACAATATATGACAGATACGTGTCTATATATTATGCCTATGTGTGTTTGTAATATGTACACTGCTTTTGGCAATGGCTGACAGTGGCAGTTGCTTGTCGATATTCAGTTACAACGATCAACAGAGGCCTATATATGTGGTTGCAAAGACGCACTTTCACGCTCACATGCACCCTGCAAACTAGGTACTCAAATATGAGTGAGTTGTTGAGGTGGGTGTAACAGCGCTCGAACCGCGGGACAGCATTGGGTGAAGGACAACACAAATAGCGAAATGGTAAAACAATTTACATTGAAAATACTTCGAATTACAATATCTATTGCACGAAGTGATTTCTTGCTTACATTTGGTTATCGTTTTTTACGAATATTCGGCAGTTACAACATATCATACATATATGGTTTATGGGGGTTTGGTTGCTATGAATGTTGTAAGAACGTTCTATGCAATCCGATTAAGAGGTTGGGCCAGGATTATCAAAAAGTTGTTTTGTGTTTTTGTGGTTTAAAATACCCTATAGGGTCCTAACAAAATAGTTTAAAAATTCCGAGTAACTTCGTCAAACGTTTAAAAAATATACTAAAAACCTCAATCAATAAATAAGGAAGGACTACGTACAGTTGTAACCGAACATTTTATACTCTCGTAACTCACACGGCTCAAAGCCGGGGAAATACCTTTTGATGTTAGCGAATTTTTATATTGATCTAGGGTAAGTATTGCCGTGATTTCATCCATTTTAGGCAAGAGAATAATACACTGTTATTAGAAAAAGATTATCTCTTCATTTAATCAATATTCCTTACATATTGGCCGATTGATGCGATTTAAAGTCAACTGGAAGTTCGAAAATATTTATATGAGGCATATGGGGGCTAAAGGAAGTACTGTCCCGAGTTTAACCATTTTTGGCGCAAAGACATGCTGTCCTCAAAAAAATAATCGCCCCGAATTTTAACGCTCGGCCTCACAGATTGCCCAATATTTACCGTAAACAATCAGCTAAGTATGTGCACTGAGGTCCACATATTTGCTGTCTGGATCTTTGAAAAATTATATTCCGATTTCAACAATTTTGGGCGTGAGATGAAATAGCTTGAGAGCCCTATTTGTGCAAAGTTTTATTCTGTTGACTTCATTCATGTTAGATTTGTATACAGTAAAGTGAAAGAATCAGATGGAATTTGAAAATTTATTACACAAACACCAAATTTAGTTAGAATTGGTTAAATAGTTCCAGAAATATAGGATTTCACCTAAAAGTGGGCGGTGTCACGCCCTTTCTCCTCTTTCTAAGCCCTTCCGTAGCATCTTGGTTGTGAAATTTAATGGTTGTGGTGCATTTATTTTAGTAGTGTTCAGCAAAACCGTTATATGGGGAGTGGGCGTGGTTATTATCTGATTTTACTGTTTGTGGAATTATTTTTTTTAACCCCATAATTGGTACTCAATTTTTTTTAATTTCATATTTGGGATTACAAAATATATAGCATAATTTAATTCAAATGTTAATTCTGTTATTTTTAAGGCATTATTTGCAACCCTAATTGTCGCTTATAAACTCGGGTTTATCTGTTGTTTTAGTGCCTACACAAAAAATACACTTTTAAAGAAGTTTAATTCTATATTGCACTAAGATTAGGATTGCAAAATGTGTCTAAACTCAGAGTTTATTAAATATATGTACATTAACATAAGAGTTTCAACTCGAGTTTAAGGTGACCGATTAAACCAGACTAGAAACAGTTATGGCATGAACGATTTATCAAAAATCGTTTCAAATCTTGTTGATACACTTCGTGTAAGGTCTTCAAATTCTATGACCTAATTGAAAAGAGGGTTTATAGGATTTGGACAAAGCAAAATTCGATATATACTTTCATTTGTTTCTGCATTACCTTTAATTTATGCAATGTAAAACAGGACCAATTTATTTAACATTACCAAATATGAAAATTTTTTTCACGTATTATTCGTCCGTAGAGAAGAAAATGTTCCTATTCAACAGAAAACAAACAGTATTAGTTCATATTTTCACCAACATCTGTTGTCACAAAATTGTCTTTCATATAACAATTCCGTAATCCCAGATTCGCCACTGCTTTAATATAAATATTTTATTTAATTGTGCATCGTTTGATAATTAAAATATATGCTCACTACTTGATTAAAGAGTTGTGTTTACATAAAATGTTTGTAGTTATTTATTTCACCAGAGTATTTCGCATACACTCAGCACCTTCGCTCGTCCGCCGAACCAATGGAAGAGAAGCCAGAACTGCGGTCGCTCACTGGTGACGCGGGCAATGACGTTGGTGCAACGCCTGATTTATTGTAGATATTTGTTGTTGTCGGCTTCGCTCTTGTTCTTGGCAACGTGAAGGATAAGTGCTTGACGAGCGTTGTATCGCCAGATAATGCGCTCAAACGATTGGAATGCGGCTCATAAGAAGCGCAACGAAGCAGTGGATTACGTTGTACTGAAAAGTAGATCGGTTTAGTGAAAAATAGAAGCAAAGAAAATACAATAAAATGTTTAAAGTTATTTTTAATAATAATCTGCAATTAAGACTTCAATAACTTACAGCACTTGGACAACACAACGGCAGGAGTTTGATTAATGTAATGATGTAGTTGGCCGCTAATTACATGTATGAACATTGATATGTAAGGAAGTATGTGGTAGTAATTAGTAAAAGTAAACAAATTAACCGTTAACATTAAGGAACAATTTTATTCGAAGTAACTTTTCATAATACATATAGATGATAGAACTATGCAAATTTTTACTAAAATACATTGATGGCTAGACAACAACAATAAGTGCCTTTGCTTAGGCTGGTGCGTTTTGTAGGTATTCTGATGATGTTGTGAAGTGCATACATTTATAAAAGTTGATAAATATTTGTTTAGGATTTTTGGCATGTTTCTCAATTGTCGGAGTGGTTGATGGACAATTGACGCGCGGTGAATGTGGTTTCTGTATGAAAAGGTGGAGATAAATTAATATAATTAATGTTTGTAGTAAATGTAGGATTATAAATTTAATATGTCTGTGTACCTATGTGTTTATAAATACAATCTAATATAATAATAAATATTACTAAAAATATAACATACAAGTTTTCTCTACACCAAATCATATGTTCTTCCAGAACCAGCTCAGCATCCACGCAAGAAAAAACGGTTTTTGTATCCTTTTTCTACTTTCTTCACTAATTGTATTTAACACGCTCCAACCAGAGCTACACTGTCTTCCTGTCAAACAATTCTCTTTGTTTTCTCTCTCTCTCTCTAATCTCTGTCTATCTCTTCCTCCCTCTCTCTCTCTCTCTCCCTCTCATTCTCTCCTTAATTCTGTGCGGTTTGTAGTGAATCTCTACATATTAGTCCAGCAAGCGATAGTATCAGCTCCTATGCAACCTTTTACATGGATGTCAATGAACGCTCTAGATTAACTCAATGAGTTCAGTCACAAAAAAAACAATGTTTTTGTTAAAACCTTGAAACCGTAGTCAAATAATGCTCCCAGAAAATAGTAAGGAAAACAAAGAATGCCGAAATGAGCGTTAGAATGCCAAAGAAGGTACCTGTGTTGTTTCCTGAGATTCTGCAAGCACTGCTCACTCACTCTCAACACTAAATTACTTCATTAATCAGTAACCGCTATTTCTAACTAAATATGTATACTCTGCTTAATTGTTTCATCGCAACTCACCTGGCGTTCTAAAGCCATCTTGAATCTTATAAATCTCATTCAACTCTCGTGCACTGCATAACGGCGTATCCACTTGTGTTGTCTCATTGAAACGCCCATAATCGATCTCATAAGCCTGTCGTTCTTTATTATATAAAACCACGGGATCAAAGCGATGACCCCACAATATCTCAGTGTTAACATAGCTCGAACGAGCCTGTGTTGATTGGCCCGTCGATTCAACCGTGCCCTCCAAAACTACAACCAATTCGAATTTATCCTGCAGAATGTCGGTGGCAGACATATTATAAAACGGTGAATTCTCATCAATTTTATGTTCGATAACCATTGGCCATATGAAAAACAAATCCGAGCCACATTCATCGGCGCTTATTTCCAATTCGGTGAAATGCTGAGTCATAACTTCACCCTCTTTAGTAGTGCGCGTGCGTATTAGCTGAGCGCGCACGCCGGCACCAATGATATGTGACTTACGCATATCACCGACACGGAACATCAGCGAGAGACCACCATCACGTTGACAAATGACGGCATATTTGGAGAAGAGCAGGGTTTGGGCGCGCTGCTTGGCACGTGTCATCTTGGCGAACACGATGCCGCCCATAAATGCCGAGGTCATTACACCAAATATTGATTGGAAACACATCATGAATATAGCCTCCGGACATTCCTCGGAGGTGGTACGTACACCATAGCCGATAGTATGTTGTGTCTCAATTGAGAAGAGGAAACACGAGGTGAAGCCGTGTATGGCGGAAACGCAAGGCGTCCAACCAGATTCCTCTAGGGAGGCAACAAAAAAGTATGTATTTAAAAAATAACCACTATTCTTGTTTAACAAACTTGTGTACCTTGATGTTCTGGCAAATGCAGCTCCTCCAAGTCGCCGTGTGTATACATAATGAGCCACCAGAGCAATGCAAAGAAGAGCCAGGAAAGTATGAACGAAAGTGCGAATACCAGTAGCGTCCAGCGCCATTGTGAGTCCACAAGCGTTGTATAGAGATCCTGCATGAAGCGCAAACGGCGACGCATCAGATTCTTTTGCATAACATTACAATCGCCATTCTTGAAGACTGCGCGACGGCGCACTTTACGCATGCTGCCCGGGCGGAAGTTACGCGATCTAAAATCAGGAAGAACAAAACCAGCATGAAAAATTGTATATTAACAATTTTCTTTTTTAACTATTAACTTTTAATTTTGTATAATTGTTAATATTATAACTAACATACTCTGTGGATGTCCTCCTGCCTAAAATCATCCAAGAGCGTTGAGCTTTAGAACTTGGTTCTTAGGAAAAACAGTGTTCTTATGTGTATGCTTAAGTAAATTTTTTTATATCCACCAAAATAAACCAAAAATCCAGAGTTGAAGCTCGGTTAACCAAACTCTGATTTTGTCGAGAGTTTCAAAAAGTTAATAACAGAAATGCCAATAAGCTCGTGTTTGCGTGTCAATGGTAACTAAGAGGATAAAGTTCATTTAATCACTATCCGACCACAGTATCACTATCGTCTCTACTCTACAGTAGAAAATTAAAATGTATTATGAGATTAAATAAAATCTGACCTATACTTTATATTTAACTGAAGTTTTCTGGCCAAGTCGTGAGAAATTAATCAGTACAGCCTATAACATTAACACTTAAATCTATGACTGATCGAGGGTCGCCCTTAGTAACATTATTTTTTATTCTAGACCTATATTTTTCATACATAAACTTGAGTCTCTATTTTCATTGTAATCGATAATTTACTTTAAGAAAAAAAAACATGTCCAAAAACAAATAGCCGCTGAAATATATTAATTACATAAAGTTTATAAAGCATTTGTGTTGCCCTGTGTGCATCACACAACCGCCTATAAGTATATTATGAAGACCATAAGCGTTTACAGCAGCAGAGATACCCAATAGGTACTTACTATACCCTGAACTGGGTATATAAAATTTGCCACGAAGTTTGTAACACCTAGAAAGTAACATCGGAGACCCTATTAAATACAATATATATATAAAAGCTCAGTATAACGAGCTGAGTCAATTTGAATCTGTCTGTGCGTCTGTGTGTCTATCCATCGCAGGTTTTGATATATTATAGCATACAAGTATATATCGATCAAAATCAAGTTCTTATATAGAAAACTTTTTTAATTAACAAGATATTTTCACGAAATTTGACAGAGATTATTATTCAAAGCAACGCTAAAAGCTCCAAAAATGGTGGTACTATAGTATATGCTGCTATCTTTTTATACATTTTCATGCTAAACGAAATGAACATATGAAGGATATTATATCTTCGGTGCAGCTGCAGTTTACATTTTTTCTTGTTTTAATAATATTTAGCTTGTAAAATGGAGGCGCCAGTCGCTACGAGCTGCAATTTAGGGTCTTATTGTATATCACTTGTCTATTCCAGAGTATATTTTAGCCGTGTATTTTCACAGATTATTCTCATCTGCAAAAATACATGCGCAAATACATGTATGTACATCTTGAAAGGTGAGTGCTTATAAAAAAAGCAGCTGCAACAGAATTTAGTGCTAACAAATATTGTCATAGATCAACTACAATCATAATACGTACAATCACTTTGCCCACGTGCGAACATGCATTCACACACACACCTTCTAAGATTGCAGTAATCATCAAACCAGTGAAAACATATTACATATGCAATCATATTAATTAGCTAATATTTCTTAGTGTAGAAGATTTTCTTTATAATACTTACAACACACAACAAACTTGACAGCCTTAAATTATTTGAACTGTAATATTATAATTTATTGCTATAAATACACTATAAAATATAACGGTCTTGTGTTTGGATTTTTTTGAATTGTATAAAAATACATTTTTCTATTTCTTAATAGAATAAATGATACGAATTTATTTACAAAATATATTATTAAAATAATCTATTTTGCATAGTTGCAGTGGATCCGAGAAAAATTACGCATACGCCCTGACAATCACTTTTCACTTTTAATAGAAATAATCCTACTGAAAATGGTATAAGATTACGAATTTCATTGAAATATTTTACAAATTATGAGGAATTAGAAAAAAAAAAAAACTTAAAATAATTTGTACAATAAAATGCAAATATATATATAAATAAATAAAAAATGCCTTATGATAATATACATAATTGAATAATACTATAATATTAACAGCTGGAGGCATATAGCTACATGAAATCACCACACAAATTTTCTTTCAGTGTATCAACAAAACATTGTAGGCCGAATAAAATTTCGCTAATTATCACTATAACAGCGTCTATAACTTACTTCCACCCAACTTGGCTGGGCTAAATTTGCATATGATACTTATATGAGAAATATATGCAAGTATTATCTATCAAATTAGTAGCTTAGTGTTGTTGTTGTGCTTACTGAGAAATATGCCAAGTGTCTGATGATGCAACCGCAACGTAATGGAATGTTTTTTCTTACACAATTGCTTATAGAGACGCATATTTATAAATGCAAATCAATATAAGTATGAATGTAAGGCATTTAAAAGGGCTCAGCTGTCAATGAGGTATATTTACATACATATATACTAATGCATATTAAGTGGCAACGCATATACAAAATAGTTGCGATTTAGAATCTATCTTTGAATTTTTCCCATAAGACGAAGATGTTGTGTTATTTACGGTAAATGGAAATCAAATGTTATCAAATTGATTGAATTGGCGATGTAACTGAATATTGGCAGAAAAAGCGGAAATAAACAATTGATTACTCAAATGCAATTTACGCTTAGATAAGCACTTTCACTCTACAGTTCTGGAGCACAGAAAAACAGAGTGTTGTAGCAATTGTCTCTTGCTTGTTTGCTAAAAATATTGATTGTCACCCTGTATTTGTAATTATTTACTTGATAGAACAGATACAGCTGTTTTAAACTGGAAGCAGAGCTGCAAGTAATACGGCAATTGTCATTTTTGTTGTTGTAATAATTTTCTGTTGAATGTAGCAAGATTATAATTAACACTAAAATATTTATAAATTATTTTATAATTATCTAACACAACCGTCTCATATGATGATCGGAAAATCGAAGAAGAAGAAGAAGAATTGAGAAAATCCGCTTCTCAAAGCAAAGATTTTGAAATTTAATTAAAGGAAAAAAATGCTAACCACTATATCGGTTAACAATGCGTACCAAAATTTGTGTGGGAGTGGCGGATCTTAGCATTTTGCTGTTAAATATTTCAAAAATAAACCAAATTTTTAGTTTCAAGAGCTGTCTCGTTGATACTAATAGGTTACCTCAACACTATTATACAATCATTTCGCTGGACTTGGCAAAATAACTGGTACTATAGATACATGAAATAAAGCCAGAAAATGTTATAAAACCGTATTAGCGGTCAGCGCTACTCAGAATACCTATAACCAAGTCACTCATATGAATGTCTACAAGTATTTATGTATATATAATATATATTCCACCATACGAACCACCTAGTATTGTATTGACTTATTTAAACTAAACATATAGTTCCACTTCAAATTAAATTTTTTATAACTGAGACAAAATATTCACGCGACCAATTAATATCATCGCTCTTGTTGAGCCGACTTTACTTTTTTTCAGTCAGCGGCTCATTCGCCCCAGTTATGTTTGATTTTAATTGTTACTACTGCTCTATTTCTATGAGTTGCGGCTTCCATTAATTAAAAATTTTAAAACTAAGCAAATAATAATCATATCAGCTTGAAGCTTGGGTCCCACACACACACACACACACGTATAATTTTTCTGAATATATTTATTATTCGCCGACAGTTATTTAATGGCGATATGTAGATATATATTTACAAACACAACTGCATGAGATGCCATGAGCTAAACGAGAAAGCAGAAAAAAACTATTGAGGGCAGTTTAAAGAGTTTAGAATTGAATTGAATTTGATTCACAATTAAACACTTAAGCTAATTTATGTTGACAGCATTGGCAGCTGATTATTTGTTTAGGTGTCAATTAGTGGCGAACTTAGACCGGTATGTAAGCGCAATGATGATAGATTTGTATGTTAAAGAATTGTTTAATCATAAAATATTTAACGGGGCTCGTATATTAGAAATAAAATGCATATATTTTTGATATAATTTTTAACATTCTAATAGAAAGACACCAAAGAAAAAATATTATATAACTGTTAAAAATAAGTTATTGACTTCTATGTTGTGTATGATACCAGGGTTAGTGATTTTGTAGATTTGCAGTGAATTTAAAGAGCAGAGTTGGTGTAAAAGTTAATAGCAGCATAGAATAATGCTGTAGGGGTGACCCCTCTTAATATGCCTTCAGCAAGCAATATTAAATGTAGGCATTTCGCATATAAAACAAAACATAAGCCTCAAGCTAGTGATGCTCTAAACACTAAAAATCCAAACTGCACGGAAGACTTGCATGTACTGAGATATGTGTTGAGAAATTTGTATGCAAATACCGCAGACACTATCGGGCAACTAGCGCTGATTGCAGCTAAATTAAAACTATGTAAACTGTCAAATGCTTCCGTGAAATTAGCAATTATTTGACCACAATGCCAACATGTATGTATGTATGCTTTGCTTGTAATTGTCACTTTGTGCTGAGCCTGTGGCCTGCGGCCTGCGGTCATAACCACAGCTTTAGTTATTGGATCTGCAGCATATAATTATGCGTACTTGTCACTTTGAGCTGAACTTGCGGTTGCTACGGTTGCTATTCTCGTCGACGTGAATTGCACTAAAACAACAACAAGACACAGTATTCAACATGCCATGAAACTGCCACTAATCGCTGCGTTCAATTGGCAAGCAGACAATAGTAGGAGTAATGCGCGGTGTGAAGCGCAAACAAGTAAAGTGTGTATGTTAACTCTGCATACATGCACATACAAATATATGAGCCCGTTTGACAGCGGCAATTGTTGCTTGCATCCCTCTGCAGTCTGAAGTCGACTGATAGGCAATGTCGGTTTATCGTGGGTGGAGAATTCAGTGCAATAGATTGTTCGCAACAACAGCTGCACAATACAACTACATGTATATGTGTGTAAACAGATATTAGCAAAGCTGATAATTATGGTATATAATTCGCACGAGATCAAGTTGAAGGTCAAATGCTTTGATGATTACTGCTAGGTTATAGGGTTTAAATCATGACTCAAACAAGAAAGTTAAAGATAAATTTTTAAATTTAAATGCCTATAGCCGATTGACATCATTTAGTAAAACCTTAACTAATATTAAATTTTACAGATTACTAGCATGCAGATGAGTTGCTGGTAAAGTAATTCCTCAAACTGCTCCTCTACCTAAAGTGCATCCAATCCAAACCTTTTTATGTCACCATCTCTTCATTTATTATTCTTACGTTGATAAAAAAAAAAATTGTTGTTTAATTAATTACTTCATCGTAAGTGGCTGTGTGTGAGTTGTTGTGCATGTAGATCAAGTTCAAGTCATCTGTAGATAAGACTTGAGATAACTCATTCTATATCACTCAGCAAGATAACGCATTACAACAATTCACTTATACATTTGCAACAGCAACCTTGTGTATGTGGTACACAGCTGCGAATGGCAATTAGTTCTACGAATATAATTTTGCTTTTGTTCTTAGTATTCCATGTTGAGCTGGTTGAGCGCAACACTGCACATGCATTTTTAAATCTTATGAAAATTGAAAGTTTTAATGGTGACGAAATAGTTATTTATTTATTTAATAGTTATTAGCCACATAAAAAAAGCACCTCGAATAAATAGTGAAAGTCCGCTTGAAGAGAGGGTTCTAGCACGTACGGTTTTATGCTTAGAGTCTGTACAGGTTTTTGGAAAATAATAAAAAGTAAAAAGCTTAACTGCGATTGCACCGAAGCTATAATACCCTTCACAAATACAAAAGATTTCTTACAAGAACTTGATTCCATTCAGTCAGTTTGTATGGCAGCTATATGCTAAAGTAGTCTGATCTAAACAATTTGTTCAGAGATTGCATTACTGTCTTTGGTAATAATTTATGCCAAATTTCGTGACGATATCTCGTCAAATGAAAAAGTTTTCCATGCAAGTACTTGATTCCCGTTGTTCAGTTTGTATGGTAGTTATACGCTATAGTGGTCCGATCTAAACAATTTCTTCGGCTATTGCATTACTGCCTTCGGTAATAATTCGTGCAAAATTTCGTGAAGATATTTTGTCAAATGAAAAAGTTTTCCATGCAAGCGCTTAATTCATATGGTCCGATATCGACGACTCCGACTAATGATCAGCTTCTTAGCGCGAAAAGAACGTGTGCAAAATTTTAGATCGTCATCTCGAAAACTAAATCAGACAGACATATGGACATGGTTAAATCCACTCAGCTCGTCACGCTGATCATTTATGTACCTATATGTACATTTTATAAAGTCTCTCGATTTTTCCCAAATGCCCAAAGTTCCTAGATAAGGATCCAAATACCCACATCCAACGTCGCAGTGCTTCGAGGCGAACAAAACCGGAGTACCGACTCGGTCCCAAACCAAACCAGTCGAATAACAAAGAAAAGTTATTGATAAAGTTACTCCTTGACTAGTCTTGAGCGCACAGTCAGCGAGCTCAAGACCTGGCTAGCTTTAATACCAAAGCAAAAAACACTAATTTGGACTAACATTTCACTACATCAAAGAAATTAAGTAGGTACTTTTTAAAAGTGTTAAAAAAAACATACTGTCTCCCTACATACCCTCGCGCCAGTGAGGCACTCGATCCTTTCAATGCCTCATAGTAGACGCCGGCTTGTGACGGTGTGGCAGATATACCGCGCATATATTGACGTTTCCATTGAAAGGACAATGGATTTGGTTCCTCTTTCTCGGCAACCGCCTCCTCAGCGCCATTTAGCATCGTCACATCACCACGTGGATTTTGCATTTTCGCCTATATTCTAACACAAAACTATACCTGAAGGACAAATGAATAACTTCAAAAAATTGTGAAACACACTTGCAGCGCTTTCAAATAAAGCGCGACTTCACTATCAGCACATATGTATGTATTTAGTAATTATTACAGCAATTCAGTCGCGCACGCGTACCACCGGCCAAAGCGATCACGATCACTCTACTGACTTTCAGCACGCAAAGCGCTCAAAATGAAGCATAGAAAAGATGAAAACCCATATTGTAATAACGTTTTAGTGCGTCAGGCAGATGTACTTGCTAAAAGCCCATTTAACCGTGTTTTTCTTCGATTTATGCATATTTGCTCAATTTATTATTTCGTTGCTAAAACGAATGAAAGGCGAATTTTAATCGGTTATTTATTGGTGTGCTGTTCATGGCAAGCTTTTAGCGGCAGTAACAAATGTACGCGTATTTTTCAGGCAAACTGTTGCAGTGTTGACTAAAACGTTTAGTGCTTCGCTTTGATTTTCACGCTTCAGTGTAACGTGTGCGAAGGCGTATTGTTGGGGGTGTGTATATAAGCTTATAGTGGCTTGAAATTTTAGCACACGAGTTCATATGTCTGTTCGCCATATGTTATTATTTCTTTGAGATTGCATTGTCTTTTAGCAGTATTACTTCTACACGATTGAAATATCAATCTACAGCTTTGCACCCGTCATTTGCTCACCAATAAGCTGCTTATTTATTAGAACGGCCGATATCGGACCACTATAGCATATATGCTTATATGAAAAACTTGTACATTTGCGGAGATATCTTTACGAAATTCAACTATTGCCTAAGACAATGATGCAATTACCGAAGAAATTATACACATCGAGTCACTACAGCATATTACAAACTGACCGGTTAAAGTTCTTGTAAGGAATCTTGGGTATTTGTGAAGGGTATTATAGCTTCGATGCAACATTTTTTCTAGTTTTTCATTTCTTTAATTGAGAGGTTCAGTTGGGCCAAACCCACTTTAAACTCTTAATTAAATATTGAGATATTAATTTTTTTTTTTAATTATCTGCAGGTAAGTCTAACTTATGACACAAGAATTACTTCTAAGTTTGAATACAGGTTTCAGTATTAAGGTACCTCAGATTTTTTAAATCCAAATAAATTTTAGAAACCAATGAGCTCAACTGAATGTATTGAGTTGACTCCGTTAGTTTGTATTGACCATGCAAACCTTTGTCTTATCACTTTGGTTTTATTGACCTGACATAAAGCGCACTTAATCGATTATATTCAAATGTTCGGTAACTAAAATTAATTCACAAACTCGAGTTCATTGGCAATTTCGAAGTTTAACAGTAAAGCTTGAACACAATTTGCAGATTTATAGAGATAGTAAATAAAGATGTTTAATAAATTTCAGTTTGACACAGTTGAAAAATTTGAATTTTAATTGCTTTTACAGTTAAGCATTGTTTACTGTTAAACATGAAAAATATCCAGTTAAATTTAAGGCAACTTATAACCCACAAAGAGAACACTTGATACTTGTTTGAAACACACAAAATATTACTTTCGAGTTTGTAGCACAAGTTGATCACTCTATTTGAGCAAGAAGAAGTGTTTTGAATACATATAGGCTAACAAACTAGTAATTATCTTTGAACTGAATAATATTAGAAGAATCCTTTTAATAAATTAATTCTATTTACTTCCTTTAACAACTATAAAACAACATTTGAAAATATTTAACGACAAATATAATTAATTTTTTAATTATTTTTTGGGCGATAAAGTTTGAATCGACACTTTTATTATTCCTATGCCTTATAACAATCAAGAAAAAGCACACATACAACAAATCATACGGCCATTGATGTTTCTTCACTTTAACTAATAAAACCAAGAGAGTTATTGCTCACCTGGTACTCGCTTGTCGTTGGAAAACGCCACCGCCAGTTTTCGCATAGCCATAAAAACTCGCTGGACGATTTGGTACGATTGTAATCGGAAATGACCCTGGATTACTGATTACGCTGTTCAGTGAATCCGGTTCCGGTTCTATAGTGACTTGACGTTGAATGCGCGGCGGTGGCGATGATCTCTGCAAAGGTGTTGTAACTGTGGAATAAACCGAACCAGCAGAAGATACTTTTTCACTCAGTGGCGGTTGTAAGCTGTTCATTAAGTTGATGCGCATTTTCATTGGAAATCTGATAAATGCAAAGTGGCAAATTTATAACTGTTACTAATGCAGAAATGGCACTTAAGAAAAGCTGGAAAGGAGAAGAAAATTAGTTTCGTTAAAAACCGGTTATTTCCAAAGCATTAGTATGACTATTATAGATTAAACTCTGGAAAAATTTCTAGCAATAATTTATCGATTATAAAAGTTATGCTATGTTTTACGGTAAATAATAGTTATTAATAGTAGACTAATCACATGCTAGTAAATGAAAAAAATTATTTTTGCTTATTAACTGACATTTAAGTGCAAAATTTTCGCTAACTGTTTTGCTACGGTAGTTTCACGTTTGCATAGTCTACTGTAGCTGTCATATAGATATAACGTTTTATATGTGTCTGTGTTTGTACATATGTGTTAAATCGCATTCAAGTGCACAAATATTTAGACAGTTTGCAATTGTTTTTACAAAAAGCAACAACAACAACAAGTGTAAAAGTAAACAAAAACCAGCGAATGTAATGAAATTAGTAGCTTCTTCTGCCGCCCACTTTCTGTCGCGTTATACTGCCATCGAAGTGTGAAAGACGTCAAAATTGGCATAAATCACGAATATTACATAAATATTCATTTATATTTATTGCGAACGTGTTGGTAGCTATTTTATTTGTACGCATTTTGTTGTTGTTGTGTACGAATCTTTAGTTTTGCTTTTAATTGATACGCTTGTTAATTATAAAAATACACAAATATTGATGTCAGCGCAAAATTATATACATTATCTACTAAACACATCTATATGCAAGTAACTGCTGTGCGAAAAATCTAATTAAGCTCTCTTTTTGACAGTAAACAAACCGTTATTACAATTTATAACTGTCAAATTAACGGTCTATAAACAAATGCATTCTTAGAAAATAACGCTATGGTGCAGAATTTTCCCCTGGAAACACCATTTAAGTCCAATTTAAGCGAAGCAGTGGCTAAATTGAATATACACAACAGTTGTTGTACGAACCATCCGTTGACCTTCCAATAACCAGGGTCTAGATTAGAGAAAACAGAGTTAAAAAAATTTCTTAGCTGAGTGATCTGTTAGCATCAATTTTTGTAACCTTTCAGCAACTGAGGCGTTGTGGTAATTGGTGAATGATATGTATTGTAGAGACACTCCAACGCGATCATTTTTTGGTAGTTATACACAACTTTGCCACCTTTTGCATAGACCAAACAAAACGAAATATTTCGAAAAAAAATTATCTTCAATTAACTTGGTAACTTAAGGCATTACGAGAACATCTGTACCTTATGCAAATTTATGTACAAATGGAACAAAATGACGATGCAATGAACACCTTTATCAAACATTTATATGATTAGTGTGATTTAAATAAATAAAAATATGTTATCCCTATAAATAAATATATTATCCATAATAATTCCGGCAATTATAATCAATTACACCATTACACAAAGCTGTTAGAAGCAGCTCAATAGCAGTATACTTTGTAACCTTAGTTGACAGACAATTATAGCAGGCAATTAAACCGAAGGCGAAATTTACATTATCTTAAATCAGTACACAACTTAACTAATAACAGCACATTAATCCTTGTGACAACAAAAGTTTGTATATAAACCAAACGATGACATTCGAATTTCCAGTCCACGCGATACACTAAGTAAAGAAAGTAGGGAAGTCGTAAGTGCCAGTATATCCTAATATCAAGTAATATGCAGAGCTTCAGCAATCTCACAGCGATACTTAATTTAATTGGTATTACGACAGTGGGACAAGAATTCATGCAAATACTGACAGATATTGTGATTACCTCTTCGAAGGAGCGGCGTGTGAATACAATTATATACACTAGCCATGAAGAGGACAATATTACTGCTCTAGATTCTATGAAGATACTACGCACATTGACTCAAAACACGCAAGGTACGGTGGCATTTCTTAATATTGGCACGACATCACCCGTCGAACGTTATATTAACAAATTCAATGCGGAACTGCTGTGCATCGCAAAACTCCAGCACAATCACAAGTTGGACGAAAGTCTCTTGCGGAAGCTTTGGCAACGGCTTTGGCGCATTAGACAAACTCGACTTATTCTACTACTTGACGACTTAGCAAGCACGCGTTATGTGAGTAAAATACTAAGGCTGTGTTTGGCAAATCAAGCTTTGAATGTCATTGCGTTGCAACCGCACAAAGTTGTGGTAGAAGGTAGCTACTGGACGGTACGCATATATCCCACGCAAAAGGCAGTTAAAAGCAGCTTTACACCACCACATTACCGAGCAATGTTTCCAAAACATTTGTCGAATATGTATGGGCATCCATTGCGCATTTTTACGAAAGCTTGGTATCCGCAAATTTATACGTACACGCCTAAAAAAGGTAACGCCACGCTTGGCGGTTTCTTAGGGCGAGCTTTGGCCGAATATGCAAATTTTCACAATGCAACAATTGAGCATCCCATGACCATGGATCGTACATATTTAACTTATATGGAATTGTGTAATTTCTTCAAGAACAAAACAATTGACATGGGCTCACTACAACCGATCGAGTTCAGTGAACGTAATATCAGCTATTCGGTTGTGTTTCAAAGTATCGATTGGTGTCTGATGGTGCCATTGGAGCAACCACTACCGAAATCGTCATTCTACTACAGTATCATTCAAAGTAACGTTATAATTCTATTCAGCTGCAGCTATATGCTGATCTGCTGTTTTTGGAACTGCATAGCGCGTTGGCAAGCTCAGCAATCGCTGAAAGTGGTCGAGCACTTCATTAATATTCCACTGTTGCCCGGTTTATTGGGTATGGCATTTCATATTGACAAACGCATTTCAAACATACATAAGCTGCTGTGTTTTACCATCTCGCTGGCGGGTGTAATAGTCGGTACAGCATACGGCACTTACCTGCAGAGCTTTATTGTGAATGCACCGATCGGTACTAAGGTCCAAACAATTACCGAATTATTGCGCCGAGGCATTCAAGTGGCTGTTGGCAGTGAAGAGCTTGAGTTAATTAGTAATAATATGGAATATCGCAAATATCTAAAAAACTTTACCGTTTTTGATAACTTCACTGAGCTCTTATTACTACGTGACACTCTGGATACCGGATATGCTTTTCCGGTGTCCGATATGTGGGCCATCTACAATGAGCTACAAAAATACTTTTCTCGCCCGCTGTTTCGCTTATCCAACATTTGTTTTAGCCGAAACCAGCCAATGGTTATTCCATTGCAGGAGAACTCTATACATCGTCAACTGTTGAATGAATTTCTGGCACGCCTACATGAAGCCGGTTTAATAGATCACTGGCAGCGTCACAGTTTCTTGGAATTATTAGAAATGAACTGGTTAACTTTGGATGCTAAGGGCAGCCATTATGATTTCAAGCCCATGAAAATGGAGGATTTACATGAAATACTCGCAGCCATGTCTGTTTTATTCTGTTTGAGCCTCTTTTGTTTTGTGTTTGAGTTTTTGAAGTCACAATTTTCAAATTTTATACTTCGGTACGGCGCAAAATGCTCAAAAAATTAAAAACGAGAAAATAAATTGTTGTTTAAAGATTTTCATATCTGAAATTCAACGGTTTTATTTTGGTAGGTAGCAAAGTAGTGGAAAGTTTTAGTACAGGCTCCGCGGAGTTGTTTCCACGAGCAAGTACTGCTCGGCAAAGATGAGTACTTGAACTATTGACCTTTGGAATTCACGTCAACAATTGGTATAACAAGAGTTGTACGGATCGCGGTAAAGGATAATTTAGATGACCACCGTTCTCGTTTGAGCTCTAACCCGGTTCCCCGTTGTAGTAATGTGGCTTAACTATTGCTACGAAACATCACTACGAATGCTGTATAAAGGACGTTAGAGCGATTCATCTCATTACAACTTGCTTGGTTACAAAGGTATCATATTAATTATGGGGGTGTTTTAGCAAATGAATCATCCTTATCTGACAAATCCAAATGTTTTGTGGATTTTACAAAATTTGCAGCAGAAGACCAATTAATACCGACCATTGAGAGACAACTCGCTTTCGAAAAAGTAATATAGGCATAAAACTGTAGTAGAGCCTAATTTCTAGAGAGCTGCTTTCAAGTTAATACAACGTTAAATTGATTTTCCATGAATCGGTTGAAATCACTTTGTTTGGAGTTTGAGGAATATGTAAAAATCCAAAGAGCTCATATGATGAATAATGTTTCATTAAAACGTATATTCGGTTGGATCTTTACTTTACATTTCAATTTACGATAATAGCTAGAATTCGCTAGAATTGAGACATTAAAACACATTCGCAACATTTTCAATCATTTTATAAGACGCAAAGTTAAGGGAACTCGTCAAATTCTTTCTACAATGACAACGCAACAACATTTTTGTAGATTTTGTATAATTTGCTGATAGCATTTCAAATTGTTACCTTCTTCTTATAAATTAGAATTTTGATGTCAAAATTTTGTATACATTTCATAAATTTATCGTATTTACGAGTTTATGAGAATGGCTTGTCTTTTGCATAGGTTATTTGAAAAGAACTCTTTATTACTAAACTACCATGGTATTCTCAATACCTTTAAGGCAGCTCAATTATTATTGAGAAAACACTAAGTACTTATACTTACATTATTAATTTGCAATCACCGTAAGCTGCGAGTATTAAGTAAATGAGAAATAAAACACTTTTTTAATCGATAGCTGCAGATACTTGAAAAATTAGTACAAGCACTTCAAAAACGCATTTAAGTTAATGCCAAAACATTGAAAACATTGCACTTCAAAGCACACGAAGCATAATTTCCGAAAGTACAAAGCAATTTTAAATTAATTACAGATTTCGATCATTTTTTGGTATTATCAGCACTTTTTAGCCTTTAAAACTGCACCAGAGTATCCTTCTTGCATGAAAACTGCTAATGAGCAACAGTGAACTTTTACAAGTAAGCTTTATACACTTTAACGGTAATTTTGCTTGCAAAGCGGTTGTCCAAGCGGCTCGTTCACTGCCACACAATAAACTGGACAAACTCACACGAGTGCCTGAGCGAGTGGCCGAGTGACTGTGTCGAATTGTTGAGAATATCATCATCAACAGCAATAGCAAAAACAATAACAATTGTAGCAGTACGAGTAAATAGTTGTAAACGGCAGCAACAGTGACAAACACTTGACAGTCGCAAAATTTCAAATAAACGTTTTGTGTAGACATGTCAGTTACACATGAGTATTTGTAGGCAGAGCGCGAAAACACACACCCACACATATACAAATGTTTGTTGTTGTTGTTGTTAGACTGATAGTTGAGGATGTAAGAAGAACATTTGCCTAGCTTCTGAGCGCGGGAAAAGTGTGCATCGAGACGATAAAAGTAAATCTGCTCGACAAATGCATATGCATATGTATAAATGTACGCGTGTGTCACCTGAGTGCCCTGTAGGTATTTAGCTTAATCATCGAGAGGCAATTTGTGCAAGTTAAAAAACCAATGATAAATATTCTCACACACTTCATAAAAGTAATGAAGATTCAGTATTTTGAAATAAATCATCAATTGTAAATAGTTTTACAAAGTATAAGACGATCCAGCGATTTTAGGTGCTTATATAATACGTTAACAAGCATCGAAAAATTTTCAGGGTATTTTTTTCACAATTGTTGCGACCTATCTCGACATTTGTGTTTTGAGTTTGAGCGAGATTTTAATATTTAAACCTAGTTTAATCTGGTTACCATGGAAAAGTAAATGTTTTGCGAGCAAATAATATCTGGCTTGAAATTGTATTTTTTTTATAAACGAATAATTTGGTTATCAATATTTGAATATACTATAGTTTTATACATTTATGCATATTTAACCCCCCCGATCACCTTTTTTTGTGGTGCGTAGAAAGATGTCTAAATTATTTTAATTACAACGCGCCAATAAACAAATTTTTCTCGTTGGTTTGCTTTTGTTTTATGTTATAATAGTTATATTTCTTATAACTTATTGCATTGCAGCTATTTGCTTAATAAATTCAACCGCAGTCGACAATCGCATCAAAGCTTTAGCTTTCTGTAAATAATACTTCTATATATACATACACACATATCATTTCAATGCAGCCACAAATATTTTATAAGCGCTGCTTGTCGAAGCGAAGACCATAAATCTACCGCGCAAAGGGCTACTATACCTATACAAGTATATTGTTGTTTTTGTTGTAATATTCAAATTACACAAAAATAAATCGCTCGAGCAAACAAGTAGGAAGCTATAATTCTAATCAGAAAAGCTTCATTGTGCCCAATATAATCGACATACATACTACATTGTAATATCATTAGAAAAGAAATTTTAAATGTTTGGACATAATATTTGGTTTCCGTTCTTTACTCTAAAATTTCAACACTCATTATCGTAAGCATACACTCAATAGCAATAAATATGTATGCGATTTCTTTTCGTGCACAACCTGAGAGTATCTCGTTATTGAAGAAGGGCTCCTACCGACCTAAGTACTTACATACATTTATACTATATGTGCACATTATAGCAACACCAACTAATTGTGTGGACAGCATAATCAAAAATTTCGCTTAAATGACAACAACCACACGCTGAGCGCCTATTGTACTTTCTAGCTGTCATAATTGAATAAAAAGTTAATCAGTGTCACAGCATTAACCGCAGGGGATGCTAAAAACTGTGTGGCTCTTTTCATACAATAGAAATGCGACTGGGTGCTAATATGATTTTATGATGGCAACAACAAAATCCAGGCATTTGTACATATGGGTATGAGCTCTATCGTACGAATACGGAAGCCGACATGTCACTGGCACGAACTCTACACTAAAATGATTACACGATATGGATAACATATGAATGATAGAAATATTTTTATTCAGTTGTTGGGGTGTGCGATAAGTTTTGAAATTTTTTATAAGGAGAACTAAAAACAAACTTTATACTTTCTGGATTTTGGTGTAATTGTGTTTGACTTAAGCTACAATAACAGTTTTCCATTAAATAATTAATTGCTCTGGCATACTAACTATTGTATAGTTAAATCTAAAGTCTATATGACTATATTAGTTAGATATTGCTAATTGTAAGAATGTCATTAAATCAAATTCTGCAAATTTATTATTTAAATAAAGAAATATGTCTAGATTTTCACATCCAGTTTTTAATTAAATAATTATATTTACAGAATTAGTTGTCTATAACGCGCTCCTTGACAATAACGCCACTTTTTGCCCGGCTCAACAAATATTATATTATTTAGGTGCATTTAAACACAAGCTAAGCAGCGCTATAAGAATCTTTTTCGGAATTAAGATAATTAATTCGCAAATTTCAGTTACGCTGTTATACCCGTTATAGTTAAGAATTATATCGATTTTAGCGCAACTGACGACCTTTGGAGAGATTATTATTATTTAAGGTTACATAATATTTTTAAAGCAGTTAATATTTTTGTTTATACGGTTGCTATTGTTAGCGCCATACTTATTGCACATTTATTTTTAATCTAACTAGAGTATTCATTATTAATTAGCGATGGCTTGGGATGAAAAACAAGTCACAAAGTACGTTAAAGATTATATTTATACATGAATATGTATTAAGCAAGCACATGTATAGAGTCTTTGATACGAAATTGTTTGCGAAATAAATTAACAAAATTGTGTATTTTTCACCAGTGTAAACATTTTCAGTAAACTAAGGCAAATAACGAAATCGTGATAAACACTATCGACAAGTTTAAGTAATCAAAATCGATGAAAACTGTAAATACATATTACTTAAAACAAGTCCTTAAGTAACCAAGAATAAAAAATATTTATAAAAGCAGTGTTCGTTATTTTCCAATCGAAAAAAACTAATATTCCAATATACGTGAAAAACCATTTGTTCAAAAATATGAATAACTACTACGGTTTAACGCCAATAAACTAGGAGAGATATAAATACTTGCTGTCATGCTATTATCGGAAGAGCAAAATTGTACAAATTATCAAACCTAAAAATAATATCTGAACTAACGTAAACATTTTAATTTTTTTTAATAATTATAAATTATCAATCTGTATCGCTTCATAAAGGCACGAAGAGCTGAAGTCTAGGCTTTCACAATAATATTCTGGATTCAATAATGCAAGCACATAACTCAGCAAAAACCACTTTTCTCATGGCCAAACCTCGTCAATAAAGCGACAACAAATCCGTGTCTATTACCAGCGTACTGAAAAGAGAAAGCTCTTAGCTCTTAACACATCGGCTGAAAATGAACGGGCCTCACACATAGATGGCGCTAGTTTTATTGAATTAACCTCATTTTCAGGTAGTACTAACCTTCAAAAGACAGCTGGTCAAATTGCATGATTTTGTTATTTTAAAAACTTTTGTTGTTTTAAAAACTTTTGTTATTTTAAAAACAATGCATGATAAACAATTTCGTTTTTTAAATTTACACTACTTTTTGATGGAAAAAAATAACGTCCAAGCGAAGCAGGTGTTATGAGAATTAACCACAATAAAACGTTGGTTTGCTGACTTCAAACGTGGTCGTAGAGACACCAATGATGCAAAACCACCACGCACCAGAAAACATCAAAAAAATCCACAAAATCGTTCTGAACAATCGGAAAATGAAGTTGCGTGATATAGCTAACAATGTAAGAATTTCAAAAGAACGTGTTGGCTTTATGTTGCATGAACATTTGTCCATGAGAAAGATCTGCTCAAAGTGGGTGCCGCGCTTGCTGACTGTTGACCAACAACACGAACCTGTAAACGTAATAAACCGGAATTTCCACTCGAGTGAAGAGGTTATCACTGAAACTGAGGCCAATTTTGAGGCAAAAGACAAATTGTATTACAAAAGTGGTATTGAAATGTTAGAGCGGCACTGAAATGATTGGTTTGCTCTTGATGAAGATTATTTGATGAATAAAGCCAATTTTGAACATAACCATGTTTTCTTTGTTTGGCCCAGTTATTTACAGTCCATGTGTTATTACTTTAATGCACCTTCTTTTCATATATGGTAATTTTTAAATTTCAAAGCGAGGTGGCATTCTTACTTTGTATTTATTATTGAAGTAATCACCACTTGCGCCTAAAAGCGCATAACAAATTTTCTGCTACCGTCGACATCAAAAGCAGTAATCGAAAGCTGGTTAAAAGTAGCACCTAAAATCGTGTAATTTTTTATATTATTAAATACTAACATAGCGAACTGATCGTATAATTGATTCACCGCCACTGTTACAACTGATGTTGCAAAATAACTGTTTACAAAGCGTAGTATAGAATATTATGTATGAATATATATGTATGTAATATTATAATACAATCAGAAGTTAAATAAATATTCAGAGAGAATTGCTGTGGTTACTTCGTTATGAGCATTTTGAAGTAAATAAAATATCTTCTACACTGAGAACAATACTTGTCCGTTCGTTATATTTGAATGCTGCTGTCTTATTGAAAATTTTAAAAATGAACGCTCGCAACAGCGTTATAAAGTTGAATAGAAGGAGGCCCCTTCATTAAAAATAAAATTAAAATGGGATAACCGGTTGAAAACCAAACTAATTGTTTACGCTTAACTATTATACCAGTTGTTCTACGATTCAACGACATCTATATTGATCTATATTGCTCTTAAGGAACTTAATTTACTGGCTTCGGCGGCTATAAATTTATGTTCGCTGCTGGATACCACACATAGTTTATTTTTAATAAAAACACAACAATAATTTTTTTTTTTCACACAATGTACGTTTTGCTTTTGCTCAAACGTTTTTTATTCAACTTTTCCAACTTGTTTGCAATATGTATCAGCTTTTTTGTTTATTTTTTTGTCTTTGCATACATAAATACATATATAATTTATTATGTGTAAAAGTAATACTTCCGTTTTTTGGCCTTTACTTCAAAAACTTGCTGTAACTGTATAAGTATAGCATGGTCTGTGTAGTAGAATTTTATATAATTTAAAAAAACATATGTATGTATAATTCATAATAGACTTTCGAAAATCTTAGCATATATAATATACACACATCTAAAACTTGTTTGGCAATATGCAATAATTATTTATCCTCAAATACGTTCTTTAAAATTTATGGACAGATTCTAATAGTTATAGTTATTTAATATCTTGCTTTAAAATCAGTGTTTCTGCGTTTTTCTTTCGCTTAAAATTTTTTGTTTATTTGGTAAATCTTGTACATTTATATAAACAGCCAACTTTTATTATCATATCAACATTGTCCAATATACTTTTCAATTAAATATACATGCATATGTACATACATTTGGGAAATATATTTCTTGGACATTTAATTTAAAACAGTGTTTTTAAATAAATCTTTATTTAACACCAGCAATTCCAATAAGCGTTAAAACTGTGTGTCAACAATAGCTGTTTTTCTGTGTACGCATATTTTCGTAGCCGCCTGTAATTGTCTCCACAAACTGTTAAATTCGTTTCGTGATTCTACTGCTCACATTTATTGAGTGTTCATTTTTTCCTATGTAATACATTTGGTTAGAATATTTGATTTTGTTTTTATTTTAATTCTTGCTGCTCATAGTACGTTCACTTTTCGCTACAAACGCGTGTTTAAGCAGAGAATACATATGAATAATTCATTTACATTCTCTGGTTTAGGACTTTATGTTCATGAAAGCATGTCAAAAGTGCAACAGTAACAGGAGTTTGCAATGATGTACTGTCAAAGAAGCAACATTGTTTGTATTTTCATAAACTCTAACTAAACCTAACAACACAGTGTCTGATAAACTCGAGTTTGTCTCGTAAAGTGAACGTAATTTACTTGCATTCTTGAACATTTGTTTTTTTTTTCAATTTTGAATTACAGTTAGAGTTGTTTGTATTTTTGTGAATTTTTGAAATAACATATATTCGTTTTTTAAAAGCTCAATTTCAGCCATAGTTGTAAATTAACTTTCCTACTTTTAATATTTAAAAAATTTCTAATTTTCTGCTCTTAGTTATTAAACTTAATTACTAAAATAAATTTAAAATTGCTCTGTAGGCTTAAAGTAGTTTGGGAATAATTTAAAAATAATTTGCAGGAATAGTCTAAAAAAACGCTCACTAGCAGCTTGGAGGATACTAAATAATTATTTATTGCAAAGCATTGATTTTTTACGAGCAATTTTATTTTTGCATTTACTTTTGTTTATGCATGTGTAAATAATTATTTTTAACTGTTTGTGTGTGTTTATAAAGTATGTCTTTAAAAGTTTAAAAATAAAACTTTCAAACATTTGTTGTTTTACTAATAAAACCTATGCATAAACATATCCCGATAATAAATCGAAATAAAATTATAATTATGATAATAGTAAATTCGCGCGTGCAACAACAAAACATATTAATATAACACTGTAAACAAGAATTAATGGTAAATGGACAAAATGACGCATAAACAATTGATTAATTGACGACTTTTTTCGATTAAATAACGACTTCTCGTATATCACGTCGACCTATTGGCAAACGGGTGAGTCATAAACCAGCGCAAATTTTGCTTTCCTACATTTCAAACCAACTCCTAATTGACATTGAAAGCACTTATATTCATTTGAAACCATAATTAGGCAACTAAGGAGTTATCGCTTATGAAACGATGACACAAATAGCGCTGATATTGGCATTGCTCACATCACTGCAATTTTCTCTCAACTAATATTAACTTATTTTTTTTCTAAATCTACCGCTAATTGCGCTTATGACTTTCCACTACAATTAAAGCTGTATATATGGAAGAAACTATTTTAATTAAATATTAATCAATAACGTTGTAATTTAATTTTAGGCGAAAAAAAATTAAATTATTTGCAATAAAAGCGGCTTGCGCGGCAGACAAAGGAATACGATCAGTCAATTCTTTACAAAAAAAAAATTCTTTGCTTTTATACACACACCATTACACCAACAATCATTCCATCACCAATATACGCGTGGTATGTCCATGTGTCATTTTGTCGCCGCCATTATCAACAAATCGAATCGACCGATAACTGATCTTGTTTGATCGATAATCGTCGACCACTTGATGGTGTCTTCTTGATGTTGCCGCCATTACTTCTATCTTGATTATTATTGTTGTTATTATTATATGTAGCACTCGCCGTTGCTGGTGAGAGTGTATTTGGCGTGGTGGTGGGATTAATGGTGAGATTATTGGTGCTGCTGCTGCTGCTGCTGCCGGAATTGGTTTTCTCATTAATACTATGTAGATTTGTGGAGAGTGCCAACGAGGGTATTTGTATCGCTGAGCCGCCAACTGTAAACGAGGGTGGCACATAGTGATAGTTACCGTTTGTGCTACCGCCACCACAATTCAACGGTTGCATTTCCTCGGCAAGCACCCCATTGGGGATGGAATTATTGCGTGTTTGCAGACGTGAGTCCAACGACTCGTCGCTGTTTGGATCTAAACGATCCACTGATATGGTGGATGGTATGTGCATAAGACCGGCGGAAAAGGCGCGTTCTGCAAATGTATGTAAAATAAAGAATTAGTTTCGTAAGTGAACTTCAAACACTTTAACTACAAACTGGCATTGCTTGCAAAATAATTTTTGAATTTGCGTTTTTCCACTCACCTAAGCCCAACTTGGAATTTTTAGCATATTCGGCCTTCACATCATCCAGTTGTTTGGCGCTACAAAGTGGTGTATCTACATCATAAGTGTTATTGAATAGGGTGTAGTCCACTTCGTATTCGCCCGTTTCTTTACGAAACGACACCACATTCACAAAACGATGACCCCAGAGTATCTCCGAAGGCAGGTAACTGCTGCGCGCCTGTGTTGTCATGCCAGTGGACTCTATGACGCCCTCTATAACGAATATATTTTATACGATTAAATAGAACTACATAATTTTGAATTGTTAAGCATGCTCACCTAACATACAAACAACCTCAAAGCGTTCCTTTAACATGTCCGACGCGGAAAGCATGTACAACGGACTGTTACGATCGATTTTGTGCACAATCGTTGTGGGCCAAATAAACATTAGCCGGTCTTCGCCACCATCTGCGCCGACTGTCAGCTCTTGCTGATAGAACGGTAATATTTCGCCCTCTTTAGTAATCTGAAAAATACAATTCAAGAAATTTTAATTTGTATACAGTTAATGTAACAGTTTACAAAAGCGAATGCCAACCTTCTTTCTAATGATCTGCGCCCGCACGTGCGCCTCAATAATATGACTCTTTCGCATATCACCCACCCGGAACATCAGACATGGCACCCCATCCCGATGACAAATCACAGCATTTCGCGAGAAGAGCAACGTTTGTGCGCGCTTCTTGGGACGCGACAATTTCGCAAACACAATACCAACCATAAATGCTTGTATGAAAACACCCAAAATACATTGCAGACACATTATGAATATCGCCTCTGGGCACTCCTCCGTCACGAAGCGATTTCCATAGCCTATTGTCGTTTGCGTTTCCACCGAATAGAGAAATGCCGAAACAAAGCTACGCACCTCCGTCACACACATGCGATGCGTTACATTTACATTGCGTTCGGGAAAGAAATCACGATTGTAAATATATTCGAAATCGCCATGCGCATAAGCGATCACCCACCAAACGAACGCAAATAACGCCCACGAGATGAGAAAACTGAGCGCAAATACGAGCATGGTCCAACGCCATTGAGCATCGACCAGGGTGGTGAAGATATCCTGAAAGGAGAGAATAGGTATATTGTTTTGTCAAGTAAATTATTAATTGATATACATACATATATAAGTTTGTATATTAAAATGTAGTTATCTAGTTTTATTATTAAAAAATAAAAATAATTTAATAGCTCAGAAACTCAACTTTTTTTCGTAAACTAAATTAACAAAATTTTAAATTTTATAAGTTATTATTACTTGTTATTTACTTTATTATTTTGACTACTAAATTGATATCTATTTATACCTGATGTCATAAAAGAATGCTAGCACCACACTTTGGCCAGACCTATAACCTATATCCATATCCTTGAACTCGAGAGTATTTCTCAGCAAGCCTTTAAGATGCCAAAATGATTTTAACAACATGGAACAGCATGTCATAAGTCCCGCGTTTAAAAGGAAACATTAACGGACCACTAAGTATACCGAACTTATCTCTAATGAAGTTCTTATAGCGAATGTTATTTGAATTCTTTTATAGACCTTGAAACCCTTTTCTAACGCGAATAGAATTTTGATAACCTGAGCGGTTTTGTGATATTTTTTAGACAGTGGCGTTTAATTATATAAAACCAAGCTCTTTCCTACAAGATATACAAGGATATCTGCGAACTTGAAACATTTTTAAAATTTAAGTAGTTTTCATTAAATTAGTTTTTCACCATTTTTAAATACAATAAATATCAGTACAGAGTAAAATACAATAATTTAAATGTTCTACTAATATTCCAATTGCCAAAATCCCAGATTAGAGAACAGAAATGAGTCTGGCATATTTTGGAATTAAATAAATATAAATTACTGGAGTGCATATAAGTAAAGAGTAGTTTTTAATAATTTAACTGGGAGTTATATTCAATTTTTGTTGTTGTTTTTTATATAAATTTTTTTCATTCTTTTTTTATGGGATTTTTCCCAGCACTCACCTGCAGATACCTGCGTCGCCGTTTCGCCACATTGCCTTGTACCACATTACACTCGCCATGCTTGAAGATAACACGTTTCCGCACACGCCGTGAACTGAAACGTGTCTGTCGATACCTGCAATGACAGATAAGCAGAGACACAAAAAGTTAAAATCCAAGTTATTTAATGCGTAAGTTAGGAAAAATGCACATAAATCAATGCTTAAGTGTGCACTTAAGTACAACAACAGTACAAGTATAGCAAGGGTATTAGTCGCCAAAAAGCCACCGTAGGCAAGCAGGATTAGTTTAAAAAGGCATCTTTGGTTTGGTTTTTGTTTAACTATCTATGGCAAAGGAAATTTTAAATTTAAATGAGTTAAAAACAAAAAATTGTTAACAGACGTGTCGGCTTTTGCTTTCAATAACTGCAAATTAGTCGAAAAATATGAATTAAAAAATAAAATTTCAAATAGAATTACAATAGAAAGAAAACGAGTATTTCTGGGAGATGTAATCTACATTCATTAAAAGCAAAGAAGTTTGCATGGAAACTGCTGATGTCTCACATATGAAGTTTGTGATTAATTTCCTTAATGAATTGGCACTCAAAAGTAATGTTACCGTTAAGCTAGCTTGCATTGAATGCTCATTATTTGCTCTAATTTTAATTTGTATTTTGCATATGCACCTAGGGTACATATACATATATTTATTTAATTCTATAATATACTGGCTGCGATATAAATATTTACACATTTGGCGCCTTTCATACGTTATGCAAGCACTATTTAATCAATAAATATTAATTAGAAAATAAATAAGCAAGCATAACTTGATTACTATTAAGACGAAGGTACATAAATACTTAAAAATTCAAGAGATTATACAAGTAAATAAAATTTTCATAGAGAAAAAAAAACTACATAGATTGCTTTGTAAGCAAAGAGAATATACTGAAGGGTTATCATTTACATACATATATGTATGTACACATATTTTGTGTAGAATGTGGCGATATGAGATATATTCAATCAGTTGCTGTCTTTTGAAATGTACTGATATTTCGGAATAAATTATTTTATAAACTTTAGAACTTTGAACTGCAAAAATACAGTAAAGAAATATATTTATACTCTAAACAGAAGCTACTCATTTGCGGAAAGACCGATATCAGACTATTGCATATGAAAATGTGTGAAAATGGACTACAAACATGCCTACTTCCCATATAACACATTTTCAAATGCCATATAATTATTTTACTTTACAGTATGTAATCATCAATAAAGTTATCTCAAGTAGTAAATTTAAGGTGTGCCATCTCAAGACTAAAAATTCTCAAAATCAGACCATAGCTTTTCAAGCCACCCTATATGTGTTTAATGACTTTCCAGCTGAAATTGAAGCCGATGTAGTGATTCTCAATTTTTCAGCTAACTTTAAACCGTGAAATGAAAATATTTACATACGCATTATTAAACATAATTAATACAAGTTAAACCAATCAATTTACCACAACAAACTTTGTATCGGCAGACAAATGATTAGCACAATACACAGCAGTAGAAGCAACATTTATGCAAGGAAATTACAAGATTTGCTGGACAAAACCGCAAGTATTTTACATCAAATAAATTTTTTACATTTTTATGCGGCAAAGTGTCTTTAAATTAAGCAAAGCGAAAAGTAATTTTTTATTTTATTTTCAATATGCCTTTATTTGGATTATTTGCTTCTTTTCTTTTTTATATATAGTATTTCCTTCTTTTCATTCACAACTTTTCCACTAAAATTTTTAATTTTTCGTAATTTTAATTGTGTTACTGTGTATTTTTTTGCTTTGTTTTATGAACTATAGAATTTTGTTAAATTTCAATTTTTAATTCATACTCATATTATTTTAATTTACAAATGTTTTTCACGTTCACTTCTAACAGTTTGGACCTTTTCCATTCCTTCAAAGTCACACTTCTTTCGATTTCCAAGCTCAAGCTGAGATATATGAACTTTGTTTAGAATAAGCTAACAAAAGAGGATGCGAAAAAAGCATTATGCACAATACAAATCGCGGTCAAGGACAGTAGAACGTGGACTGTAGAAAATATATTCTAGATTGGATATTATTTTTTTATTTCACAGTAAAAATACGTTTTCATTACTTTTTAATGATATTTTATTTTCTAAATCACTTATTTAGCAAGTAAGAGTAAAAATTTATAATATTTTCTACAACGGAAACAAAATTTTAATTTTCGTTATTTCACTTAAAATGATTTGTAACGTCAGTCTTTACAAATTTCTTTGTCCGTATGCCTCAAATAGAACTTATTACAATGAATAAGAATTTTGTGAACGCCGCTGTCAACAACTACAACAACATCTTTGGTTAGCAATTTAACAACTAAACACTTCCAAGTGCGGTTCCATAACTTTTAATGCACACAGTGTAGAGCGAAGAAGACTAACGGGGCATTTCCACAGATAATAATTGTTGCCGTACAATTGTCAAATTTAACGCTAATGTCGTTTGCAATATTTTTGTTGGCAAAATTATAATTTTCGAAAGTTCGACGGGCAGACATATTCAAGAGAACCGTTTAAAAATTAGATGATTATGAAGCAAACAGAAAAACTAGAAAATGTATTTATTATATATATTTTTTGAAATATTTAGGACTTCAACAATTTTATCGGAACAGCCATATATGTGTTCGATAGCTGAACTAAAATGTTTCAATCCTCTATATTTTGTTGAAATTTGTTTTTTAGTTTTCTTTTTAAATTCCACTTTGCTAAATTGCAAGCACATCAGCCACAGATCAGTCACTTATCAGGGCAATTGTTTGAATAACTTATGGTTAAGCAATATTAGCAATAAAAATATTTAGACAGCACTCATTGCCTGTCGAAATACCCGTTTATATAAATCAAAATAATAATAACAACCACAGCCACTATAGCAACAGAGCTCGACTTATACCCGGGTTGTGTTTGTGTTTTGAGCCGTTCCGTCTTCACCTTCTATGATTTTCAATATGTCATGTGTGTAAATAGTGATAACAAATGTATTATTGTAAATATTATTGTTGTAACATTGTGGTTTGTGCTGTTTCATTATTTTGAAAAATACAATTGATTCCCTGAGACGTGCATTCACTCATTAGTATGAATGCTTATTATCTGCAACTCCTCTGTTGGGCGACTCGAGTAGGTCAATTTGTTGTATTACTTTTCTTTTCATTTTCTCTAGTTCTTGTACGTTTCATTTACGCGGTACACACAAATATTTTTCACAGGCTAAGTTTTATCGTTATTCAACATTTCTGAAATATATCTGTTATATTTACATATTCACATACTACATACAAAGCATAACATAGATGATAAAATTCAAATTCGAAATGAAAATAAATCGAAAACCAAATTACAATACATAGCAGTGGACTGCTACAAAGCAAAGCGTATGGTCACCCCTTCCCTACAAACTATGAGAGGCGGCAACAAAAGTCTTCCTGTGTGAACCGGCAGTTAGCCAATTATTTACTCCGCTCATGGCTCACATTTTATGTTTTAACGCTTATCAGCAGCGTCCAGCTGCTTAGGCTGAGTATTTGTAATCTTGCTACATGCTATGCTATCTCTTAAGCTGTTAAGCCTACAAACTTTAAAAATAGTAGGATTTAGTTAAATAAGCTATATGTATGCTCATGTTAATTATTACTAGTACTTCTGGAATATTTGGGCTACACAGTTGCTTTTGCTTTGTTCTTCTCTGAAGGATTCAACATGTTTCATACGTAACCCTGAGGTAAATTTATAACCACGTAATTAAAATGAACATTGCATTATCGTTTTAACATTTATGGTAAATTGTTTTTTGAAAACCAACCAGCCGTGCTATATAACATTTTTCAAATTTAACGGTAAAGCGACGCATTTGCAAATCCACCACCTCTTATGACCTAACCAGAAAAAAAGTAAACTTCGGTTGCACGGAAGCTACAATTTAATTGACTGATATATGATATACTTGTAATGATCTGATCTGAACGATTTCTTTGGAGAATACATTGTTGCTTTAAACAATAACTAGTGCCAAATTTCGGGAAGATACCTCGCCAAATGAAAGAGTTTCCATGCAAGCACATTATTCCGAACGTTCAGGTTGTATGGCAGCTATATGCTATAGTGGTCCAATATCGGCCGTTCCGACAAATGTACAGCTTCTTAGTGATAAAAGGAAATTTCAGATCGATATCTCAAAAACTGAGAGACTAGTTTGTATTATACATTATACAAACAGACGGACGGGCATGGCTAAATCAACTCAGCTCATTATGCTGATCATTTTTTATATATAAATTTGATAGGTCTCCGACGTTTCCTTCTGGGTGTTACAAACTTCGTGGCAAACTTAAAATACCCTGTTCAGGGTATAAAAAGTTGAGTAAAATTTTCATGCCTTAAATCAAAGGCTTAAGATATACAGGTATGCATGTTGATATATGGGCTTATTATAAGCATATATATCGGCAGGGATATGCAGTCATTACAAAAAAATAGAAAACTGTGCGTCATTTAAAGATAAAAATGCTAGTTTAGCAAACTAAATCTCACAGTCGAGCACTAGATCTATTACTACACAGCTGTAAATATGAAGTTTTTATTGCTTGAGACATAAAATTAGAGTCGCAGTTCTGCGAAAAAATATAAATAGATAAATAAATAGTACCATGTTATAGGTTTTTTTTTTTATATTTTTATTATTATAATTTTTTTGCTCGACTTTGCCTTTTCGCCAGAAAAACCTAAGCCAATAGCAAACAAATAAATAAAAATATTGTTAAATTTAATAAGAAAGAACAGCGTGACAATAACAAAGACAAGTTTTGCTTGTTAGTTTTTTTTTCTACCAAAGCTTTGTTCGTTTATATATGAATTATAGCTTTTGTCTGCCGGCAAATTAGTTTATTAGCACGTAGCAGTGTGAAAGGTATTATAAGCACGCCACATATATCTACACTTTCATTCAAACAAAAGTACGAGTACATATCGACTACCAAGTTATTTGTTGCTAAATGCTACCCGGTGAATTAGTGGAACGTGACTCACACATGCTTCGTCATTAACGAGACCATCGCTTGTTTACATTTTATTGTGGCATTTTTTTTTTCTGCCGGTTCATTTTTTACTCAGCAAATACTTGGTGTCATTTCGAATGCTCCTAATTCGGTGCTAACAACACGTTTGTTGCTAATTTTGGTAACGGCGGTGCTTAAAAATAGCATCAAATACATGTGGACTAATTTGGCTATGACTGTAGATGCGAAGTTAAGTAGTACCAGAGAGTAACCATATGTATTTGTTGTTTATAAACAAAGTAAGGGGTTTATTTCAAATAAAAAAAATACAAGTTTAAAATTAAATTTTTTTCATAATAACAAAATATAATAATAATTATATATTAGCAATATTATTTTGAAATAAGTAAGTATCCGTTAAATATAACTAATTGAACCGTTCCAGTTGCTCCGCTGGAATTGCTGCATTTAGTAAGCATACTCGTACTTATTCATATATGATCAAATGAATGATACGAATGAAAGAAAAAAAATACTTTTTACATAAATAATCGGTATAATAGACTGTTCTTCCAGTGCCTTAAACTCGAGTTTATGGTTTTTTGGGTTTAATTATAATTTTATAGATATATTTTATAGAACATTCCTTTTGCGCTTTAAACTCGAGTAAGCATTAAGAAAGCATGTTTCCAATTTGACATTTTGTCAGTTTTTGATAATAAATTCTCACTTTAGTCAGATAAGCATTCATACTCCCAAATTTAGAAGCAAAACAACTTCATACACACCACACAATTGGGTTTAGGTCTCAGACAAATATGTTAAAGTCCATTATTGTAAGCAGGGTTAAATGTTAAACACCGAAATGAAAATTAAACTAGATTTTTTACTGCAACGGGATTTTATGTACCTTCAACTTCTCAAATAAGGAAAAATCAAACAAATAAGTAAGTATCAGTATAAAAAATTTAAAATATCTTTATACTTGTATACAATCTTATTCATAACATTCTAACAAACCTCGAAAATCATCGAAAATCGAAAACTTTATGACTTACGCCGTGATAAAAGCGAAGAATTACAAAAACGCTAAAAATAAATAATTACTAATTAATAATGAAAATACATTCATACACAGCTTTCTATAAACACCTTAAATTTACCGCTAAGCCTATCTACTCACTGATAAGACGTAGCGACGTTTTCTACATGTTTACAAAACACTGAAGGCTTTACGATCTTTATGATTCACAAAGCTAATAAAACGATAAATAAAGCTAAATACAACAACAATAAATGTATTAATTAGAGCAACGGCAACTGAATTATGCTAATTAGTTTAAAAAATGATAATATATCAGACTAACGTCGCAAGGTAGCGCGGTCGGTAACTAAGAAACTGCTGAGAACATAGAGATTGAAAGAAAACAAAAAAAAATATGAATAAATAAATAATACAGTACATTTTTCCAAAAAATTAAAATAAAAAAAATGCTGTAGTTGAGGTTCTAGGCTAATTTCACTAAATAAAAACGTTTTGAGGTGTTTGTGTTGAAATAATACATCTGCGATCTTCATTGCATAATACTAAAACATATGGAAGACAGGTAAATTTTGAGCACATGTCCATTTACATAATTTTGTATATTTAATATTTAAAAGTTTTTGAAATTTCACCAACAAGGCAAAAAAATCATCACCTCATCAGCGAACGACAGATATCAAACAAAATGACATATCTATTACTATTTTATATAGCACACTACTGCATATACATACAGTAGTACATAAATTAGTTGATACCTATTTATTAGTATGAACTTTTGTAAGCTTTAGAAATCAGTTCAAAGCTATGAGGTAAAAAAAGAATTATGCGCATTTAGGGTGAAACACGCCAACAAAACGTGCTGCTACCGAATCATACCCGACTGCTGAACCGCCTGCTATGATAGCTAGGCAAAGAAAAAGAAGAGCAAAATACACCAAAACGCTATTTATAAATTAAACAGACAAGAAATATTATTGTACAAGTATAATAAGTATGTGTAACAAAACAAAAATATGTTATTATAAATGCTGACAGACAACCAAAGCATACGGAAAAGACATGCCCACAGCTGTGTTATGTACATGAAAGGGAGAAAAAGGTTAAAACAATAAAAAAATTTAACCCTGTATACCCAAAGGGTTGTTGTACCGTATTTAATATGTTGGTAAATTCATACATACATACAGTCATACAAGGTCAGAGAGGTAGCGTATCCTTGAAACAATATAAAATGTTATTGCCTTCTTTAGAGAATTTATTAAATGTACTATATATGATTTTCAAGAGTTAAATTTTAAACTTAAATACATTTTGTTTAAATTTGTGTATTGTTTAGCTAGTTCTTGCGTTTAGTAACGAGTTTTATGAGAAGTTAAGCCTAAATGTAGGCAACGACTTTTTGATAACCTTCAAATACAAAATGTTGACTAGAATTGGGCGCATAACTACCTTAATTAAGTCCATTACTAAACTTAAATGTATCAATCAAAAGTATTCACTTTCAAGCGTACTTCTACTTGAAAAAAAATGTGTAAAACAGATATTAACCAATGAGAATGAAAAAGTTTTAGCGTTGACTTGCATCAGACTCACTTTGTATAACAAATATGCTCTATAACTAGTGCTAAACTATTAATATTGACAATATAACTCTCTCTATTCTCTATTATGTAAGTGTATTGACTTTTCTCACTTTATTAAGTTGCAAACAAAATAAACAAAAAACCGGTAATTAATTATTGCTAACAAAGTGGATTAAAATAAATCCATATAAACGGTTAGTAGGCAAAATTGGTATGGAATGTAATGAATGTTGAATGTAAATAGAGTTGTATAATTATATGTACATGTTTGTTAGCTTGTACTGGAAAATATACGCGCACTTCATCTCCAATACATATTTGGTGTGGCTTAAACGGCGATGTTGGTAACTCACTAATATATTTATACCCTGAACAGGGTATATAAAGTTTGCCATGAAGTTTGTAACACCCAGAAGGAAACATCGGAGACCCTATTAAATATGTATATGACTGACCAGCATGACGAGCTGAGTTGATTTAGCCATGTCCGTCTGTCTGTATATATACGATCTAGTCCCTCAGTTCTAAAGATATCGATCTGAAAGTTTTCACACGTGTTTTTCTTTCGAAGAAGCTGCACATTTGTCGCAACCGCCGACCTTACGGACCACTACAGCATATATCTGCCGTGCAAACGCAAAGATCAAAATTATTTTATATCTTCACGAAATTTTGCACGGATTATTGTATAAGTCAACGCTATAATCTCCGAATAATCGAATCACTATAGCATATACGTAGCTGCCAAGTAAAACTAAACGATCAAAATCAAGTTCTTGTATGGAATGTTTTGTATATGTGAAGGGTTTTATAGCTTCTGTGCCGCCGAAGTTAACTTTTTTTTCTGTTTTTTATTTCTATTTACAATTTGCCAATAGTTAAAGCGAATAATAAAATTCCTTACTGAAGTAATTGTTTACAAATAAATTACATGTAAGTAATGGCCTATAGTAGTCCTTTATTTTGGTATCGATTACATGCATAAATCAGTCAATTTTGCTGCAATATCTTCCAATTACCAATGAAATTAACAATATATTATTAAAACTTTTTTTTTAATTTTATATTTTTTATCCGACAGAAAAAAATGTATCTTATTTTAATGAAAAAGATTTATGTAATATTAAAAAAATATGTATTTAAACCTGTTATAAATACTCGACTCGATATGCATTATGTGAATGATCTTATAACCAATTTGATTGACTTTGTGGCTGCAATCTCGCATGCTATATATTTGGATATTTATTGCTACATACATATACATATGTATATGAATTGAAATAAATGTTTATGCAGCGCTTTTTAACATATGTGATGGAAATAAGCCGTTTTATTTACGAATATATAAATACCGGTCATTTAAGAGTATGTGTGCTGCATACATACATACTTATTATGCACTAATACCGCAGAGTATTTACAGAAACTTTTAGAAATACATTTGTTACCGTTGTTGTCAACCCAGTTGACGTTCAAATACATTGAAGCTAATCTGTGTATGCGAGTGTGCATTAATAGGTGATACATAGCTAAATGCACTTATATATATGTACATACAAGTATGTACAATGTAGAATCTAGGCCTGCATCCGCGTATATGTTGGCTATTTGCAGCCGTTGACGTCAATCGCTCTCAGTTTTAGCTATGATATCGTAAATATATACACGCGCGCTACTAAATATACATACATAGAATATTATATATATAATGTTTTTAAGTCTGCTAAATTCGTTATTTGCAACTGGTAAATTAGTGATTAATGCACGTCATAGATCTTTTGCTAGCGTCAATGTGGCACGTCATCACTGAATAAGCCCAGATTTAGAAATACATACGAATGTTCGATGCGACATTTCTCTGCGGTTGAGCTTAATGCTGGAGTTTTTATAAATGCCAATACTATATATCAATACAAAATATATTAATACAACACATAACTTATACAAGTATATCTTATAAATTTATTTTATAGCCTTCTTGATTCATACCACTAGTTCGTTCGACTCGCCGCTTTCGAAATTTTTATCACCGCTAAAGGATCACGGTGTGAAAAAAAACTGTTTTAATTATAAAGTGGTATCTGTTCAATTAAGCCTGAAACAAATGAACACCTGAAAGTATTTATCACTCTTAATACACGTTGTATCATAAACAATTAACAAGTGACTATTTTCAAACCATCTTAAATAACTTTACAAATTTTCTTAAAACAATCGAATGGAATATTCTAACCTGTTCACTTTATATAAGTTTTTAATATATAAGTGCATGTATTAATAAAGAATAATAACATCGTTTATTTTTTCATGTCCCATTATCTATTGTATAAGCATTTTCCTCTTTTATAAAAACATTATATTCAATTTTTTTTTTATTCATTAAATCGCATTTGATTAGCGTCATAAATTTGAATGTCATTTAATCATATATTCGTGAGTAATTCATGATAATTATTTAATTCAAAGCGCACAATCATTCATAAATGCAAATAGTTGTTGTAATAAAGGCAAACTTAAATTATAATTTCTGGTAAAAATTGGAAAAAAAAAATCAAATACACAGCACATCATTTACATATGTATGTGTTGGTTACAGTTAATCAACAATTAAAATAATTAGATGCGCCTTACAAAACACTGTACTTCCACACAGTACAATTAACAACTATTTGCCGCATGTGTAATTAAATATGACGACTTCATCGAAAAGCAGTTTTCAGCAACTGTCGTCAAGTGACACTTACTGGTCTTTTAGTGAGAATTTCAAAACAATAGAATATTTTATACATTCTATATAACTGTATGTGAGAAGTAATGCTCTTAATAAAATTTAATGTTATATTTTCGTCATATTTGCCTATATACAAGTAGTACATAAGCCATATAATATTTAAATATTTTGCTATCTTTCACAATCTGCCGAGAAAACTGACGGTAGGCAAAAAAAAATATTTTTTTCCACGCATTCATTTAGCGCAACGCAGGAAAGAAAAGCAGGTATGTATTTATACTGCTCATACGCATATATGGTACATATACATATGTACTTGTATGTATGTACACATAGCATATGCGAGCATATAAAAATCTGTGCCAAAGCTGGGCAAACTTTTGATTATAGTTGTACAGCTTAATGACTTAATGACAATACAGCTAATTGGAAAAATGCTCAAAAATAAAAATTCAATTATAAAATTAGAGATAGGAGTATAAACGAGCTTTAAAAGATAGCAGACAATTTGTAAATACAAGCGGCTGACATTTATAACACCCAGAAGCAAATGTTAGAGACCTTATAAAGTATATGATCTATTTACACGTCTGTACGCTATACGAGTATATGCGAACTTATGCGTCAGTCTTTGAGATATATATCCGAAATTTTACAATTACAGTACTAGAAGCTTTTTTAAGGATAATTGTCAGCTCTGCAAATTCCAATTCAGCTTTATTGTTAACAAAATGCCGCCACATGAATATCCAATTATTGGGATTCGAAAGGACTTACAACGGAATTTTGCAGGGCGCTGCAACACTTTTAAATTGGTTCAATCAATAAAATTGTTAAGATTAATCAATATGGACCATCAAATTATAGAGATATAAGAAGGCTTATATGTTTATGTACATGTATGTTGGCTTGTACTAGAAAATACCCATATGCGTACTTCATCTCCAATGTATATTTGGAATGGCTGAGTCCGTCTATATATATACGATCTAGTCTCTCAGTTTTAGAGACATCGTTCTGAAATTTCGCACCTGTCTTTTTCTTGCCAATAAGCCGTTATCGGATCACTATAGCATACAGCTGTCATACAAACTGAATAATCGAAATCAAGTGCTTGTATGGAAAACTATTTTATTTGACGAGATATCTTCACGAAATTTGGCATGGAATATGCCAAATATGCTTAATCAAGACAATAATGTAATCTTCGAAGAGATTTTTTAGATCGGAACCTTTTGTATTTGTGAAGGGTATTATAATTTCAGTGCAATCGAAGTTAACATTTTTTCTTGTTTTTAATTTTTTTTTTAATTCGCTCTTTTGATTTTCATTATATTTTACTCTTAATCGTTATATATTTTCATTAATATTTGTTTCCACTTTCTTTGTTTGCATTTTATTAAAACGTTCGCTGCAAGGCTAAAGGCGTATGACTTAGCTCAGCTGTTTTAAAGCGATCAGAAAATAAAAATTTGATAAATAAATATACACATGAATGCTATATAAATATTTATATAATTTCAAAGTCGCTATATACTGAGCATATTATGAATAATTATATATGTATGCACGAAAAAACAACAGAGTTTCTTTAACTTTCAGAAAAGCAAAAATATTTTTAATAAACGGATTTTTTAAAATAGATTAATTATGACACGAATGATCATGATTAAATGGTGCAAAAAAAATGTAAACGTAGTATTAGACGTATATAAAACTAGCTGCGGGCGTGAAAAGTCAAGGCTGAAGAACGAAAAGTCCCCCTTTCAACACAAAACTACATTCAGCTCATTCTAATAAACGACAATGCGTAACCAATAGCAACATTTTACATAC